AACAATCCAGGTTCTATAATAGGAAAGGAGACAGGCTACTCAGCTTTCAGACATGACATTTTACCTTTTGTAAATAAATTCTGCCCACTCCCAGGAAAGCCACCAGCCATGGAAAGGATGAAAATATCTTATGGGTGAGAATACCAAAAGTCCAGGTACCCAGTGTGCATGAGAAAGCTAGTTCTAGGTCCCTTGGGATCCTAGACATACTTCTAGAATCTTAAACTAGCAGTCCGGGAAATTTTCAGTCTTCTTTTATAAGGTATTTCTACCGTTCATGGGGTGCTCTCAGTAATGTTTGTTCGTATACTCCAAGATACTCTCAACTTTAAGTGTTTGGGGAACACAGCATCATTAGACCAGTAAGGAAGGATAGTATGGGCTTTTGAGTCATTACCAACCTTTAAATCCTGCTCCCTCCTAGACAAGTTACTTGATTTTTTTTTTTTTTTTAAATGAGTTTCCATGCCCTCCTCTCTAGATGCAGAGTAATAGCCACCTTTCTGGGTTGTTGAAAAGATTAGCAATAATGTATATAAAGCACCTCATCCACCCCAAAGGTGATTGAAAGTGATTATCAATAGTCTGGCACAGGTACGAAAAGTTTTTATTATCAGCACAGTACAGTATTTGTGGATTATATCAAGCAGTCTCTACAACATATCCTCCAAGGAGACCAAGTCTGAATGTACAGACACCGCATGTCTGGAAAGAGCCAACCCCTGCTTTTTCTGTCCCTCCCCTTTTCTCTCTTCCTTTTCCCTCCCTCTGCATTCAGAAGCCCCTTCCCTAACCCTGATTCCTTTGTAAACAGTCTTTGCAACTGATGACTTGAATCATGTTTTGACTTCTTTATAAAATTGTTAGCATTTGCAAGGACTTCTCTGTCTCTTCGTAGACCTCAGTTTTTTTTCCCAGATAGCTCTTTTCATTATTTGGCTTAGACTAGAGGCAGGTCAGTTTGCTGGGGACAGGAAAATGTTGAAAACCACAGCAAATAAGACACACGCTGAATAAGCTGCAATTGCGATCCAAAATCTTGGGTCCTTCAGCAGTGCCTTATCAAAGCAGCTAAACACAGTGTAACCTATGGACATTCCAGCGAATCCACCCGCAATGTGGGCTGCAAAAGACACCTTGGGAGGAAGGGGGAAGAAATGGAAATAAGTGAAGAACATGCTAATTGCATATTTCAATTGCATCTCTAAAAAAACAAGTACCATCAGAGTCAAACAAGAGCCTTAAAAGCCTGAGGAACAAGGCAGTGAGGCAAAAGAGACACAAAGCTGCATGTGCAAAGAGATGTTCTAAAAACATACAAAGCTAAAACATGTTATTTCATCAACTCTCCGAGTACACAAGAGAGCCGTGTTTCTCATTCTCTATCATCATCGCATTGGGGATGGTTCTACATAATCCCGAGAGAATGTGTTGCATTGCCACAAGGGATCTCTGTGGGAGCGCTGTCTGACCCCACATAAATGGAATGTCAGAATGAGAACATAGATAACATACACACAGATATGCAAACAAACTACCAAATTCAAAGACTAATCACCACGAAACTGGAAATCTTTGTCAGTTTTCTTTGTATTGCAAATTCATCCAGACCCAAATTTTCTTTGCTGTTTTCAATCTGCTTTTTATTCTCTAGGGATAGTAAAATCCCTTCTCTCCTGTTTCGCTACCAATAGCCACCAGTAGGTCAGGTGCAGGGAAGCAGAGCCGACGTCAGGGCTCTGAGACAGTTAAGTGAAAAGGACAATCCAAAAGTCTTCAGGAATTTGCTTAACTTCCAAATGGAAATTTGGCTGCCCTAAGTCATAGACTTGTTGTCCCCATTTGCTGACCCTTTTAAGCTACTGTTAAACAATTTTCACTTAAAAAAATAATAAGCTGGTGGCGCCTGGGTGGCTTAGCCGGTTGAGGATATGACTCCTGATTTCGGCTCAGGTCATGATCTCACAAGTTCGTGAGATGAAACCCCGAGTCGGGCTCTGCGCTGACAACATGGAGCCTGCGTGGGATTCTCTCTCTCTCTCTCTCTCTCTCTCTCTCTCTCCACCGCTCCCCCCTCTCAAAATAAACTTAAAATAATAATAATAATAAACTGAACTCACCGGTGACCCATTTGCAGGGACAAAGAACCTTCTGTAGAGAGCAAATCCCATATCCGACACAACTAGAAAGAAAAACAACCTGGTGAAGCCCCAGAATCGCCACAACAGTGCACCAGATGTTTTTGATTCCTTTCTGACAATGGTAGCTGCTAACATTTATGGAGACTTACTCTGTGCCAGGTGCTGTAGCAAGAACCTTATGAGTATTCATTCACTAATCCTCACAACGACCCTAGGAAATAAGTATATCACTATCCCATTTTACAGATGTATTCATCCAACAAGTATTTATTGGTTATCTTCTCTGTGCCAGAGAAGGTGGTAGAGATACTGCAGTGAAGAGCCCTGCTTCACGGAGCTGACAGTCTCACGGGGGGGGGGGGGGGGGCCCACACAAATAAGTAAAACACACAATACATCAAATGGTGGTAAGGGCTATAGAGAAAATGCAATGAGAGGAAGGAGGATTAGGAATGCTGGGAGTAGGGTGTAATTTTTAATAGAGTCGGGGACAGTCTCACTGAGAATATGACATTTGAGGGAGATAAGAGAGGAAGCCGTGCTGACATCTGAAATAAGAGTCTTCCAGGCAGAGGGAAGAGCAGGTGCAAAGTCCCTGAGGCAGGAAATGTGCCTGGGGTGCTGGAGGAATCCCAAAGCAGAGTTGCTGGCTGGATGGGTGGTTTTCAAAGCGTGATTCCCTGCCCCTCCAAGCATTAACATTCACCTGGGAACTTACTAAACACTGAAATTCTCAGGCCCACCCCCAGCCTTATTGAACCAGAAACTCTGAAGATGAGGCTCAGAAATCTGTTTTAACAAGACCTCCAGGTGATTCTAGACTACAGTTTGGGATAAAATTATAGGTGAGGGGCGGGGGACCAATCACGGAAGGGCTTTAAGGAGCCAGTGTAAGGGCTTTGACTCCAAGTGGTAGGAAACCTTTGAAAGCCTTTGAGCACAGTAGTGATATGATCCGACTTACGCTTTTAAAAGATCATCTGGCTACTATATAGGAAAGAGCGTAAAGGAGCAAGACCAGGGGCAGGAAGACCACCTAGATTATTGATATTGCTGCAATCCAAGTGAGGAATTACCATGGCATCTTATACATAAGGAAACAAAAACACAGAGGGTAAGTGCTTGTCCAAGGCCACACAGCTCAGAGGCAAGGGCAGGATTTGAACCTTAAGAAGTCTGTCTATGGAGGGGCGCCTGGGTGGCTCAGTCGGTTGAGCGTCCTACTTCAGCTCAGGTCATGATCTCGCGGTTTGTGAGTTCGAGCCCTGCGTCGGGCTCTGTGCTGGCAGCTCAGAGCCTGGAGCCTACTTCGGATTCTGTGTCTGCCCCTCCCCTGCTCATGCTCTGTGTATGTGTGTGTCTCTCTCAATAATAAATAAACGTTAAAAAAAAAAAAAAAGAAGTCTGGCTATGGAGGCTTGCCTCTCACCCACCGCACCAACTGCCTCTAAGAACCACCAGGCCAAGAAAGGAAATGAGTCCACGTTCTCCAGTGGAACAGTGAGAGCCCAGAACTTAGACATTCTTCAATCAAGTCAGATCCATGATGCAAAAAGAGCTCCTGGGGCTTCTTGGCCTAGAAGTCCACCCTCCATGTGCCCTGCACTTGGAAACATCTCATGCAGCTGTCACATTCCACACCCCAACTCCCTGTGCTCCACTTAGTGAACCACTGTGTCCTCGGAGATGGAAAGACCCAGTCCTTGCCTTTGGGAAAATAGCATCAGGACCATGTGTTCTGCCCAGTTCCCCTTTCAATACCGTATTGATCAGCGTTCAAGTGACTAGACAGGAATTGAGGTCGAGGAAGTATTCAATTTAACTATAAATGACTAGTACACATAAATGCTGGATAAATGTGGCTGTGTCCTATTTTCAATCATTTGAATTTCTTAATCCAGTATAAATAACAGAGATAGAACTAGAAAAGTGGAAGAAAACCACTGGAGGAGGGGGTAACAACTGGAAACAGTTCCTCTGGTCTAGTCTTGCACAGTGGGAGGCCTCCTTTCAAAAAGCTTTTGTAACCCTCAGCATGTCAGTTTCTCCAATCTATTTCTCTCTGATCATGTCCTTCCTGCAGATCTCTGCCTAGCTCTTTCTGCTTCCTAGGGGAGTTTGCTTCTGCCTTGCTGCGGTCTCTACACTGAGACATGTCTTCCACCTGAAAAGAAGCCCCTATTCCAATAAACCAAGTTATTGTCCTTGCTAAAAGTTTGTCACTGATTTTAAAAGAGTTGCCTTTATGCGGATTTTTTTGAAGAGTGAAAATGTGAGCTTTCTTTTTTCCAAAGCTTAGCTCAGTTGCTTTGTTAGAAGACATATCCAACAAATAATGCTTCAGGAAGGAAAGTCCTCAAGGCCAGGCCAACTGTCCTTCACAGTTAAGAATAATATTTACCATTTTTTAAACATTTTGTTTTAAAACTCTACATTTCGCAAGGAAACAGGTTTAAAATAAAACTGCACTTGTGTTTTGTTAATCTGGCGTGTGTTAACTTTTCTCATCTTTAATAGTAGGCAAACCAGGCGGAAGAATCTTTAGAAATGAAGCGTGCCAGGAGGTGGGGAAGGCTAACATTAGCGGCTCTTACCTCCTCTGTAAGATAAAGAAGCCGCTTTATTACTTCCCTCGGGAATGACAAAATGTTACATAAACTATTTTTGGAGATTCCCTGTGCATGAGGAAAGGGTTTTTACTCCAACATTGAAGAGTATTAAAACCATTTCCCCATCAAGGGTTTGAGGCTCATTTTACAAAAGTCATTCATAATTACCTAAAAGAAACAGACTGAAACCCAGGTAACCTGTGTGTAGCAACATTTTTTTTTTTTTTTTTTTTTTTTTTTTTTGTCACAGGACTTGTTCCTTGGTCCTGATAGTGACGCTCAACAGCTCAGGTGACCGCTCTGCTCCACAGCAACTCTCCTCACTGACCCCAGGCGCTCACTCTCCTTTCTGTGCTCACAACTTTACCTCACATTTTCAGCTTCCCACGGACAAAAATAGTATAGAGAGTATGTATAAGCTATAAACAAATCACTTATCTTCTCCCAGGATGAAACACTGTTTTTACAGCTTAACTGTCCATACACTGGATTTAGTCTCTTTCCTCAGAGGTAGTTGGCCCTGTTCCCAGCAATGTGGATAATTGAACCCGATACCAATTAGCAGAACCATTTTTGCTTACCATGGGGATGGCCCAGATCTTGGGTTTTATCAAGCGTCACCTCCGTGTTGGCCATCAAGTATGAGCCTACAGTCCGACCCCCGGGTCTGCCTTCTGCCCACACCCTCTGTGCGGCTCCGGCTTCAGCTGGAGCAGGTTCAGAGACACAAGGCCCCAGCTCGCCTTGGCTCCCTTTGTCTTCTACCCAGTGTGTCCCCGCCACCACCCAAGATCCCCCCTGACGTTCAGACCCAGCTAAAATTGCCACCTCCACTCCAGACTGAGCACTCTTCCTAAATTTTTTCAGCATGTAATTCTCTACTGTAATACTTGGAGATTTCCAAAGCCATATCCGCCGTCCTGCTAGTTCCCTGACCTCTCAAATCCTTCACCCCCTGCTCCTGTCTTCAGCCCTCAGCCAGCACCCCATGCTTGGATCCTAGATCTGTTTGGGGTTCGTTTGTTTGTTTTTAATCTGAGAATTTAGAAATTGAAGAAAAAATAGATTAGGTCAGTGGTTTTCAAGCTTTCCCTCCTCAGACAAGATCATATACAGAATCCAATGTACGAATGAGAAAAATCCAGAATATAAAACAGGAAGTTATTGTGGTTGAAGTAGACAAAATATCTGACTCTCTTGACTTCCCCCACTCCAGAAAGAAACAAAAAAACAAAACCTCATTACTGAGGCACCTCTAAAAACCACCCATGAAGCTCTGTGAAAACTCCTCCATTTACCTTTCTGCTTAAGGCTAGGGAGCCACAATTCTTTGTCACTCCTTGCCAGTGTTTAGGAAGCCTGAGGCCTCCTGGAGGGCAAACCAATAAAATGGAAGGTGCGAGGTGTTCACAAAACAAACTTACTTATGAGGATGATGATCAGGAGTCTGACAATTCCAAAGGCAGGGATCATTTCTCGAAAATTCTTGCAAAGAGATAAATAATAACAGTCATAATACGAGCTATCTGTTGGCAAGTGAAACCCCAACTGTGCTCTCTCTTCATCCACTTTTTTGTTTAAAGTTTCAGTGTCCAGTATTTACAAAATAAAGAAACGCGGCAACAGCCCAGTTTTCAAACACATTTGGGAAGTACAAGGGTGGTGCCCTTTGGAGAACAAAATGAAGCATGATATTTAACTCTGTGATATAAACTACACATAACTGAATTAGCAGGAAATAATCTAAATATAAATAATATGAAATCAACACTTAACATGTCATAGTTAGGGAGATGATTGATAGATAGATGTCAAACTAAGTATGAGAAAATATGATTTTTTTTGTTAATATACATTCGATGCTTTATCCTCTTTCCAAATAGGGGCTAGCTAAGGGTCAACTAAACTTTGAGTATTACCTTAATTTTTTTAGATAATTTCCCCCAAATTTAAAATATTGGTTAAAAAAAATAAAGTTTTAGCTTTGAAAAATCTCAATCCAGTTTACAGTATCCTCCTGTGTTACCAAAGAACTGCTGAGTCAGAAAGATATCTCCACTTTTGGGGCGCCTGGGTGGCTCAGTCGATTGAGCGACCGACCGGCTCAGGTCATGATCTCACAGTTCATGGGTTCGAGCCCCGCGTCGGGCTCCGGGCTGACAGCTCAGAGCCTGGAGCCTGCTTCTGCTTCTGTGTCTCCCTCTCTCTCTGCCTCTCCCCCACTCATGCTCTGTCTCTCTCTGCCTCAGAAATAAATAAACATTTTTAAAAAAAAGATATCTCCACTTTAAAATTTATTGAGTTACATCTCCCTTCCCTTTCAAGTTATTAATTCTCTTCCTGAAGAGTAAAGATAGTGAAATACCCATGTTTATTCTAAATCAATTATTTTCAAACTGTTGGGGTCACAACCTACAGTAGGAAACAATTTGCATAAAAATCCAGGACACATATAAATCAAACAGTATTGCATGTGCTATAAACTGAATTTTTTTAATTATTTTATTTACTTTTTTATTTTTTTTCCAAGTAGGCTCCATCCCCAGCATGAGGCTTGAACTCATGACCCTAAGATTGAGAATTGCACGCTCTACCAACTGAGCCAGCCAGGTGCCCTTCTTTTTGTTTAATTTTTGGTCACAATCCCTGAAACTATGTTCAAACCACTAATGGGATTGCAATCCAAAGTTTGAAAAACACTTTTCTAAATGACATATTTTTGGAATAGTTTTATAACTGCTTCATATTTTTCCTCCGAGAGTATTTTTAAAGTATACCTATGTGGTTAACGGGTTAACAACTAATCAGGATTTAACACTAGGCTGAGGCTGTTTTTACAAAGTGGTTGGCAGGGCGCCTTGGTCGCTTAGTTGGCTGAGTTTCCGACTCTTGATTTCGGCTCAGGTCACGATCCCAGGGTTGTTGGATAGAGCCCTGAGTTGGGCTCCACATTGAACATGAAGCCTGCTTAAAATTCTCTTTCTTCTTCTCTCCTTGTCCCTCTCTGCTCCCTCCCTGCTCTCTCTCTCTCTCTCTCTCTCTCAAAATAAATAAATACATAAATAAATAAATAAAAGTGGTTGGCATTCACACATACTATACCACGGGAGTGTAACATGGTATGCCAACTTTGGAGGGCAGTTTAGCATTTATCTATGAAAATGTAAAGCCTTCATCCAATAAATCCACTTCTAGGAATTTATCCTAAAAAAAAAAAAAATCACAAATACAAAGAGATAAATGTAAGAGAACATTCTTACAGCATTATCTACAAGTGTGAGAAGCTAGTCACCTCAATTTTTTTTTTTTTCGGTGAAGGATTAAATCAGGATACAGCTATACAGTGTGCTCTGGAGCCCTTGAACAGGCTGCAGTGGATTTCTGTGTACTGATATGGGTAGATGGGGCCAAGATAATTCTTCATTAAGATGTACAACAGTATCTTTAAGAGTTGGTCCATTTTGGTAGCCTTAATTTTGGCAAGATTTTGAGTACAGACAGAACAAGGTTTGAGGGGTGCCTGGGTGGCTCAGTCGGTGAAGCGTCCGACTTCGGCTCAGGTCACGATCTCACGGTCCGTGAGTTCGAGCCCCGCGTCGGGCTCTGGGCTGATGGCTCAGAGCCTGGAGCCTGCTTCCGATTCTGTGTCTCCCTCTCTCTCTACCCCTTCCCTGTTCATGCTGTGTCTCTCTCTGTCTCAAAAATAAATAAAACGTTAAAAAAAATTAAAAAAAAAAATAAATAAAAAAAGAAAAGAAAAAGGTCTGAAAGGAGGTATATGAAACCGTTAACAGATACTGTATTAGAGATGTTGACTTTCTATTTTTCAATTAATTTTTTTTTTTTTTTAGTATTCGTCATTTTTGAGATCAGGAAATAAAAATAAAGATGAAAGATGAAAGAAAAATTCTGGTGCCAAGAAGGAAGATAAGTGCTCCGCGAATATTGATAAATGAAGATACCATGATTCCCAAATACCAGTTATCGTTTAAAAGAAAAAAGTCCAGGGGCACCTGGGTGGCGCAGTCGGTTAAGCGTCCGACTTCGGCCAGGTCACGATCTCGCGGTCCCTGAGTTCGAGCCCCGCGTCAGGCTCTGGGCTGATGGCTCAGAGCCTGGAGCCTGTTTCAGATTCTGGGTCTCCCTCTCTCTCTGCCCCTCCCCCGTTCATGCTCTGTCTCTCTCTGTCCCCCCAAAAAATAAATAAATGTGGGAAAAAAAATTTTAAAAAAAAAGAAAAGAAAAAAGTCCATAGATTCCATTCCCAAAGTTCTTACCACTAGAACATTCATAAAATAGCCTCCCATCAGAGCATAGACTCCTCCTGAAGCACCCACAAGATATCTGAGTGGGTCGAAAATGGAGCTGGCAAGGGACCCTAAAGAAAGAAAAACACAAAGGATCAGACATAACCATAAGAATCATGAAAAACAAATCTATAATGTAGAAGTTGGGACATTTGGACCATTACCATATTAACAAGCAACAAATTTATTCTGTTTGTCCCTTCCATACTATAAAGGTATAGACGTGTGGGCTAACTACCTCCATTTTTTCTGAAATGTTAAACAACATGAAGACAGAATAACAAGAACAAAAAGCACAGACTCTGGAGCTCTGGAGCCAGAATCACCAGCTGTGTGGCTTGAGCGAGTTTCTTAACCTCTCTGCGCCTTCGTTTCCCTAAAAAATGGAGATATTAATAGAACTTACCTCAATGCATTGTCGGGGAAGTAAATTAGTTGATGTAAACACTGCGTGACGTGTTATGTACTTATTGGTTATTGTTTCAAAATATTGCATACCTTTAGCCAAAACTATCAAAATACCTGAGACATTCCAACATTTTTTAAAATGTTTGTTTACTTTTGAGAGAGAGAGAGAGAGAGAAAGCAAGAGGAGCAGAGAGAGAAGGGAACAAGCTCTGCCCTGACAGCAGGGAGCCTGGTGCAGGGCCCAAACTCATGAACCCAGAGATCATGCCATGAGCCAAAGTCGGACACTCAACCGACTGAGCCTCCCAGGCTCCCCGATATTCCAACATTTTGTTATCTAATGGCTAGCTTCCTCATGGAGTCAAGATGTGGCCTCGGAACCCTTCTCAACACAGCATTCAATCAGATCCACCAAGAAAGATGAAACTGTTTACTAACCCAAACAAGGCTTTAAAACCATTTTATGCAGGGGCGCCTGGGTGGTGCAGTCGGTTAAGCGTCCGACTTCAACCAGGTCACGATCTCACGGTCCGTGAGTTCGAGCCCCGCGTCGGGCTCTGGGCTGATGGCTCAGAGCCTGGAGCCCGTTTCCGATTCTGTGTCTCCCTCTCTCTCTGCCCCTCGCCCGTTCATGCTCTGTCTCTCTCTGTCCCAAAAATAAATAAACGTTGGAAAAAAAAATTAAAACCATTTTATGCAAACTCTAAGACGTTCTCTCTGTACCGCTCGGTTCTACTACTCGATTTTTTGCTTTGAAGACTCGCCTTCATTCCTTAGGATACTATGTAATACCTACTTCGTGCAAGAAAGACAAAGTGGCCTTAGGAATCCTACAAACAGGGGAGTAAACAATTACCATAAGGTGCAGAATAAAACAACTACTGTGATTTCTTAAATGTAATGAATTTGCTATGGAAGCACTTAGGAAGGAATGATTTTTTCAGCAGAGGTGTGGAGGCCCTGGCACTCTGAGAAGGAGGAGATAACATTTTGGTTAAACTCTAAAATATCTTTGGGGCGCCTGGGTGGTTCAGTCGGTTAAGCACCGACTTCGGCTCAGGGCATGATGTCACTGTTCGGAAGTTCGAGCCCCACATCAGGCTCTGTGCTGACAGCTCAGAGCCTGGAGCTTGCTTCAGTTTCTGTGTCTCCCTCTCTCTCTGTCCCTACCCTGCTAGCATTCTGTCCCTCTCTCTCTCTCTCAAAAATGAATAAATGTTAAAAAAATTAAAAAAAAAAAAAAACCCTAAAATACCTTTAAGATTTGGAAGGAAAACAAAGGAGGAGAAAATATTCAGAACTTAGGGAACTGGGAAAGCAAAGGCATAGAAACAAAGTATATGGATGACTAAAGATCATTGAGTCCAGTAGGGTTAGGGCAGTGGTCCTCAAATGTTAACCTTCAGACTAGGATTGGAGTGATTGCATCTTAATCACACGAGTAATTTATTTTTAAAATACAGATACAGGGCACCTGGGTGGCTCAGTCGTTTGAGCGTCAGACTTCTGGCATAATCTCACGGTTAGTGAGTTACAGCCCTGCATCAGGCTCACTGCTGTCAGGGCAGAGCCCACTTCGGATCCTCTGCCCCGCCACCACCACCACCCCCGCTCATGCTCTCTCTCAAAAAATAAAATAAAATAAAATACAGATACAGGGGTGCCGGGGTGGCTCAACTTGTTACACGACCTACTTCAGCTCAAGTCATGATCTTATGGTTCGTGGGTTCGAGCCTCATATTAGGCTCTGGGCTGGTGGCACAGAGCCTGCTTGGGATTCTCTCTCTCTCTCTCTCTCTCTCTGCCCATCCCCCACTCAGTCACTCTCTCTCTCTCAAAATAAATAAACTTTGAAAAAATAAATAAAATAAAATACAGATACAAATGTCCACTTCTGCCATGATGGAGTAACAAGGATAAGATTTTCTCTCCTGCTTGAAACAGCTAAAAGCACTGGACAAAATGAAACAGTGATCTCCAAAATATTGGACATCAGATGAGAAAGGACAGTAAACCCTCAGAGGCAAGAAATAAATGAGCTGAATTTTCCAATCGCCCAGCTTACTGCCTTGAGAGAGAGGATTACAGGCTATAATGTGTGAAGGGGGAATCCAGGTAGATCTCAGTGAACTTTAAGTTGATGAGATAGAGTTTGAAGTCCAGATAGTAGGGTGCCTGAGTGGCTCAGTAGGTTGAGTGTCCAACTTTGTCTTAGGTCATGATCTCACAGTTCAAGGGTTCGAGCCCCATGTTGGACTCTGCACTGACACCTTGGAGCCTGCTTCAGATCCTCTGTCTCCCTCTCTCTCTCCCCCTCCCCTGTTCGCATTTTCTCTCTCTCAAAAATAAATAAACATTAAAAATAAATAAATAAGGGGCACCTGGGTGGCTCAGTCAGTTAAGCGTCAGACTTCAGCTCAGGTCATGATCTCATGGTTCATGGGTTCAGACCCCACATCGGGCTCTGTGCTGCCAGCTCCAGCTTGGAGCCTGCTTCAGATTCTGCATCTCCCTCTTTCTCTGCTCCTCCTCTGCTCTCACGTGCTCTCTCTCTCTCTCCCCCCCTCAAAAATAAACAGTAAAACAAATATTAAATAACTAAAAAATAAATAAAGTCCAGATAGTGCTAGGCAGCTGGAATTTGCAAGAGAGACCACCAGAGAGGAAAAGACCTGCACAGAGAGAAGCATGTGAGGAAATTACCTGAGCCAAGGAAAGTTCCACCAGAAAGGAGTAAAAGGAAGAGTAAGTAGCTTTGCTCTCACAGCACCAGAGAGGCTAAGTAACTTTCCAAGCTAGAAAACTGCATAATTCTTGGGGCATTGGTTAAAGTACACAGAAGAGTCCTGCACCAGTAGTGGGTAATAGCACTAAACATGACTCAAAAACACAGTTTCACCTTGCAAATCTTATCAAGGTTTCAAACTACTTCCAAGTAACCGTGTTCCAGAACACATTCAAGGAATATTTATAGGAATATAAAGCACCTCCCCAAACTGACACGTGTAAGTTTTAGCAGATAATGCTAATAAATAATTATTACAACTGTATACCATATGTTCAAAAGTTAAGTAGAGACATACAAGATATAAAACACTCAAACTTTTAAAGATGAAAACTACAGTGTCTTGGGGCACCTGGCTGGCTCAGTCAGAAGAGCATGTGACTCTTGATCTCAGGGTCATGAGTTCGAGCCCCACACTGGGTGTAGAGATTAATTATGTACATAAATAAAACTTCCTTTAAAAATAAAGAAAACTTGGGGCGCCTGGGTGGCGCAGTCGGTTAAGCGTCCGACTTCAGCCAGGTCACGATCTCGCGGTCCGTGGGTTCGAGCCCCGCGTCGGGCTCTGGGCTGATGGCTCAGAGCCTGGAGCCTGTTTCCGATTCTGTGTCTCCCTCTCTCTCTGCCCCTCCCCCGTTCATGCTGTGTCTCTCTCTGTCCCAAAAATAAATAAACGTTGAAAAAAAAAAATTTTTTTAAAAACAAAGAAAACTGTAATGTCTAAGATGAAAAAAAAATAAACTGGTTGAGTTTAATTACAGATTAGACATTGCAGAAGAAAAGATTAGCAAACATGAAGATATGGCAGTAAAAGCATCCAACATGAAACACAGAGAATAATATTTTTAAAAAGAAATATAGCATCAATGATCTGTGGGTCGATTTTAAGCAGCCTATTAAATACATAATTAGAGTCCCCAAAGCAGAGGAGAGAAGTCACGTACAGAAAAAAATAATTGAAGAAATTATGGCCAAAATGTTTCCAAAGTTTTATGAAAACTATAAACCCACCAATCCAAGAATCTCAACAAATTCTAAGCACTGGAAACATGAATAAAACTACACCAGGTCACTACAAAGTCAAATTGTTCAAAAGCAGTGGAAATCTTAAAAGCAGCCAGAGTAAAAAGACATGTTTCATACTGAGGAACAAAGGTAGCAGATTTCTCATTGGAAATAATGCAAATGAGAAAATAGGAGAGCACTGTCTTTAAACTACTGAACAAAAAGCACAGTCAAGCTAGAATTCTATGCCTAGTAAAAATATATTTCAAAAGTGAAGGCAAAATAAGAACTTTTTTCAGACACACAAAGGCTGAAAGAATGGATAACCAGCAGACCCATAGAAGAAATGTTAAAGGAAATCTTCAGGCAGAAGGAAAAACATCAGATGGAAATACGGAATTACACAAAGGAATGAAGGGCACCGGAAGTGGTAAGAACATGGTCGAACCCACAAGATTTTGACTTATTACTTAAATCCCTGTAGAAAAGGGGCGCC